AAGCTGCCGCATCAGCAACGTTCAACGTGCAGCGGGCGATGTGCAACCCAAACCTGCAGTGTCGCCCAAAACTTTGATTAGATAGGAGTGCATTGCACCGAGTGTACACACACACATACATACAACACACACACACATACAGAGGATGGAAGGATCGAGTGGGTGGAGGAGTCTATGTACAGGACCCGCATGCATGCATTCCATGTACCACGGGCTTACGTGGCGTATGAAAATGCATTTTGGCAAAAACATGATTTCTGGCTCGGCAGTGAGGCGGAGGATTTTGCGCCACTGCAAAACCAAAGGGCAAACATTGCAGCCAGGACTCCCATCGCCTCCTGGTCGACAATGCAAATAGGAAAGCCGGAAAAACGCAATGTTCACACAACACAAGCACACGCACACACACACTTACATACTTACATACACACACACACACATGAGAGCTCCAAAAATAACATTGCACTGGGTGGAGGCCTATAAATTGGCAGCAAAAAAGGATTTCGGGTGCGTGGGTGTTGTGTTTAGGCGGCTCTCCGACCCCACCCCCTAACTCCCCTTTGAACCTCCATCTCCGTTCGCAGGACAATGGACGCAGACGCAGCGCAGATGACATGCATAAATTGCATATCAAAGGTGCATCAGGAGCGGCATCGGAATCAGCAGGATGCAGGATACAGAAAGCAGGAGGCAGGAGGTCGTAAGCCCCCGCCTGCAATCCATAGATTTATGCAGCCTAGTCGAACCCCTTTCCCTCCCCCTTCATCCCCTTTAACCCCCCAGCCACATATAGTTATGATGCATAACCCAGAGCCACTGCCACTGACCGTTGCAGCTGCAGCAGTCGATGTTGGCCTCTGGCCATGGTCGAAATGGTTTTCGTTTGTTTGCCCATTTCGTCCCCAAAAAGTTTTTGATGAAAAATGATGCACTTGCCCGACTGCCACCCCTCCCCCTTCCCCCTTACCCCTTCCCCACGCTCAACACATTCAAAACTCCCGCCAGCTGCTTTGTTTTGTTTTGCTTTTGGAAAATTTTCAATTTGCCGGCGTCCAGCGGAGCCCAAATTGGAAAAATGCCACGGCCAGGACTAGAGCAGCGATAGAGGATACTGAATCCTGGCAACAGCAACGGCAACGGCAACGCCAACTGAAACTGCAACGCCAGTTGCAACACCCGAATATTATTAATGAAAATCAATACATAAATTCTCGCCATATTTAGATTGTTTCGGTTATGTGTTTATTTTGTATTATAGTTACGTTTATTATGAAGCCGCGGTTGCGTTGCCGAGCCAAAAACAATGCCGGTCATTTTGGCCCGGCTGTTGGCTGTTGGACGCTTTGTGCAATCGGGTTCGCTTTTAATCTGGCCATGTGAATAGTCTTTAATTTATTTCAAATTAAATTGCACGCTCTTGTGCTCCCCTTTCAGCAAGGACTATAGATCATCGTGAGATGAGAAAGCTTTGGGCTATATGCAGTTTGAAAGGTATTTAAAATGGGGAACTTTGGTTGGCAACGATTTATTGTAACTGAAGTTGGTCTATAAAATTCTGGAAATCCAAAAGAATTGCATAACTAGCAAAATCGTAACCTTAACACTGTAATTTGAGCTATCAAGGAAATAAACTTTTAAAAATATAAAGCAAATTATGTTTTATATATTTCGAAAAACTCAGAAGTAAATGGTATATTATTTTTTTCAAAATCCTACATTTCAGCATTTAATTAAATTAAAATTCATAAGATTAAGATTATACTATTTCGAAAGATCAGTAAGGATTTACACTGCCTTAGAACTATCAGATCATTCCCAATAACTATGAAAGCAATTTCCCAGTTCCTTATTCTTATCGTGTTTAACTCGCAACTCAATCACGCATACGCACCATTAACTTTTAAGGACGCCCAACATAAAACCAAGAACAGGAGCGAAAAGCCGTTTAAATTATATCCCTGCGTTTGTGTGCTTGTACATATGGTAATACAAACACATACAAATTGCAAAAGGACATGGAAAAATGCGAGTGAAAAAGGAGAGCGTTTCTGGCATTTTTGTGTGTGCGGCTAATGTCGAGAACTCGAGTCCAATTCCGAATCAAGCTTCGGGTTTTATTTGCTTGGGTATATAGAAAAAAGAGCAAAAAAAGAAGAAGGGTAAGGCTAAAGGATATCTTGAGTGTTTCTTTTAAAAGGACATTAAAGAAAAGTAAGTGCCTTAAGTCTAAGTCCTGCGATCTATAGAAAATCCCTTTCTAGGATCGATTTAAAGGAGCACAGGCCATCCACTTCCTCTAAAAGTTCAGAAGCCACCCACTTCGTCCTTTGTCCTGCTGCTGCCACGCTCTCTCGCTCGTTCGCTTCCTCTCTCCTTCTCTCTCTTTCTGTCGCTCTCCCAACGATGCGCAACGATGGCAGTTCGGCTCGCTCACCAACACCAATGCGCAGCGTTTTTCTAATGTCTGTTTCTCTTTCTCGCGCATTAGTTTTAGTGTTTTGCCTCTCGCTTTTTTGCTTCCTTTTTGCACGCCTCACACACACACACACACACGCACACACATAGAGAGGCTGCGCATGTAAAGGGCCCCTCCCCCCTTCGCCTTGTACATAAAACATGGGCGTGTTTGTGCGGCCGACGTCGCTGCCAACTGCGCTGCCGGCGCACCAAAATTTTGTGTACTTTTTTAGGATACCAAATAGGGATACGCACCGACACAGACGCAGGACCTTTATATACCCGTTGCGAAAAAGGGAGTAAAAATGCATTCCGCCTGCACCAACTAAAAATGCGCAAGGCGGGCGAAAAAAAGAAGGAGGTGGGTGGGTGGTTGAGTGGGTGGAAAACTGCATGCTGCTGCCATTTTAGGCAGCCATCATGGAGATGCAGCCGCTCCAAACTTCACGGCTCTAATGCACCTCTGCCGACGTTGGCGGCGCCGTCAGCGTCGCTGCTATTTTTCCATTTTGCCACACCCAGAAAAAGTGCATTTTTCTACGACAGTTTTTGGCATTTTTGCACTGTTTTTATTTGGCTTTTATTTTTCGTCCCTGTTTCTGTTTTTGATTTCCCTTCGCTTCGGCTGGCCATGTACAACAAATATTCACTTGCCATTCTTTTTTCTCTATGTATATACATGCATGCATACATGCAGCCTGCCGTCCGTGTGTGTGTGTGTGTGGAACTGCATTCGGTTGGTGCTAAAAGTTGCACTCTATATGCACATTTTGTGTGCGTGGCCAAAGCCAATCGGGTGCCTGCTGCAGTTTTGTTCTGCTTACTTTTTCTCAAACCCCCCAACACCCCTTTACCCCCAAATTGGATACCCTACTCAAGCCCCATTGCAGGACCTCGAGCTCAGGAAATAGACTCCCCCGCCCACTTAGACTTTGGGCCTTCCTGCTGAAATCCCAAGCTGAAATATTTGGCAGCTATAATTTTCAATCAGCAAACGATGATGTGAAAACATTTTGGAGTAATTGAATGTGTCGTTAAGACATTTTATCTTCTACGCTCCCAAGAGCAAATTTGTCTAGATTGGGCTTGCAATTAGACAGGGTAAACTAAAAGCTTGTTTCGTCAAAATATTTATTCAATTAGGCCATAAACTTAAAGGAGAGAAGTTGATAGTTGTGGCAAAAGACAAATCTATTCGAGTGTTGTTATTGGTAAAAATCTCTTCGAGATTTTTTTTGATTTGTTTAAACCCTTAATATCCTGGAGGTCTACTAGTATTTATTTATTTATGACAGTTTTTACCTCTGGATAGTAAACAAGACAAGTTGAATAACTCTTAAAAAATTTGTTGCAGATCACCTGGAAGAAAAGATTTTTTCCCCGTTTATTATTAATTTTTAGTGCTCTAAAAGATTTTTTCCCAACGAAGTCTTAACTATCATCCTGTTCCAAGACTTTAAACAAATTTCGCTGAATTTGATATCATTTATTATTCACAGATTGAAATAATTTATTTTCGTTTGAATGCTTAGTTTTAAAATCAACGTTTTAAATGCGAACATTTTTATTTTCAAATCAAATAATAGTAATTTTCTAAAAATCTAACATCTATACTTTCAGAAAAGTAAATGAAAGTCGAGGATATCCACCCAAGTAACAATAATTGAAAGTCTAATCCGAACAGATCGATGGGAGCTTTGGTCCCAATCTCCTTTTGTTCCCCAAACTCTTCGTAATCCTTTGACTAGAATTGAAAACAATAGAGGGCAAATGAAGTCAACCGCATTGGAAACAAATCGGATCGGCGTCAATTAATAACGAATTAAACTCCTGCCGGTAATCGACCCCTGGATTCTAATCAAACACATACCTATAAAGCGACCGAGCCAAAGTCAGACCTACAATGAGGTCTAAAAAAAGGATATTTGAAAAAAAAAACACCGGTGCGCCCACAGTGAAGTCGCCCAGCTTATTCCCATTTATAATATATTTTTTTCTATATCCTTCCACCCACACTAAAACCCACACACACACACATATGTCCTGGTTGGTTTTTACTGATTTTTTCGCGCGACTTTTGTATGAGGGTCGGGATTTGTATTTTTGCATGCTGCCATTTGTTTGTTTGGGTTGTTAGAAAATATATTTTTTGCGAAATTTACGACACGAACGGTGGTGAAAGGAGAGAAAGCGGGTGCCGAAAAGGAGAGGCGGCAAAAAATATGCGATATGTGGACGCGCCAGGAAGGAAAAGGAAAGCGGCAACAATTTTTTCTATGCTGCTGCGTTTCGTGTTTTGTTTTGCTCTGTTCTGGTCTGGTCTGTTCTGGTCTGGTCTGGTCTAGCTTGGGTTTTTTTTAGGCGAAGGCGAAGGACGTTTGAGTAACCTTGTAACCCTTTTCTCGCTCTCTCCCTCCTCCTTTCTCCTGCGGTCGGTCGAAAGTGTGTCCTTTAAGCGACTTCCGCCCGCAGTTCCCCATTAAATTGGATAGTTTTTTTTTCGGTTGCCCTAGGGGATTCCCCAATTTCCGAAGGAGACTCACCAGGATCACTCAGCAGTCTTAGAAATCCCGCGTTGAGTTCCGCTTCGATCACATCGCGTTCGCAGCTAAATTCCAACTGATCTACGCGGAGTTTAACCAAAAAGCTCGGACCCAAAATAGATCCTCTTTTCAGAACCAGTTTCAATCGGCGGATTTGGGTGAAAAAATTCATTTTTCAGACAGAGTTTTTCTTTTGTTCGACGAACAATTGATGACGGAAGATCTTCGCGCTGTCTTAAAACTCGTTTGCTGACCATCGAGCAGCGCCTCACCTTTTTCACCCGGTTCGACCCTTTTGAGTCTTTTCCCGAAACAATTTCGGTTAATAACCTTGACAAGGGTGCCTAGAATGGAAGGGGGATGCTTTTTGCCTGGGAACTAAAAAGCCTGCCAAACGGGTTTTTCTCGCCTATGAGAAGAAAATGTTTAGACACCAAGGACAAGGGAATATTTTTTGTAGATCCTCAAAGCCAGCCAAAACAAACAACACTTGGAGATTATTTGGCAATCCCGCTAATTGGGGTGTCTTATTCCGATTCAGGACACGGCCTCAAGAGTCAGGAGTCAAGGGTTAATTGATCTCCACCCCGAAACGGGATGAGTTATCTGCAAACGGGACAGGCACCATCCCTTAAGTGCGACCAGCACGCGTGCGCCCTTCGATCTGGACATTCCAAAATGGGACCCGAACTTTGGATAGGGTTAAATACAATGGTGTTAAAGGTACAATGGATAAAATTGATTCATTTAACCATAACATTTAAAATGGCCACATATCTAGTAAAAATTTTAAACGTTTTAGCACTTAGTGATAAATGCGGGTCTTTAGATTACCATATGAGTGGTTTAACAATTGTGACTTGTGAATTAAAAATTCAGAAATCTTAAATAGGAAATAGCTGTTGAAAATATATACCTTAGCCTTTTTCATTATTAATAAAAAGGGTTAAAATACATTTTCCAAGCTGTGTATATTTTTAATTAAATAGATTTTTCTTTAAGTTTATTCTTTCAACAAATGGATAATAGACTGTCCAATCCATTCTCAGCATTAGTTGCTCTTAATTAAAGCACACAGCTTACACAACTAAAAATGGACTCCCTAATGTAATGTTTTCTAGAAATTGTTCCCTTTTACCTCCAAGGATAAACTTCCTCCGCAGGATGGGTGGCTCGTGAGGAGCTCAGCTCATTGCAAGAGGAAACTTTCGGTTTACGCTGCCAAAAATAATAATTATGAATATGATTCTAAGCTAATATGAGCAACACATCTCCCTGCCAGCTTTCTATCCCAGAATCCCCACCATGTTGCAAGATTGAGTTTCCCGAACGACTCCATTTCCATCTGCCCTGCAGCTTGGCGCCTGTGTTATTAAAATTCTAAAAATATATAATTTCTGGTCTGGCTTCCACATCCCATTTTCCTCTGTGGCTGCAGTTTTGCAAAAGGTAATTTACTAGAAAATTTGTTTGCAATTAGTGCAGTTTAAATTGTTACATGGACAGGAATTTCAGCTACTATTTTATATTTCGATATTTTCCCAGGATTTCTGGTGCTGCTTTAAAATTTAAAATATTCGAGGAAATTTCCATTCGACATCGATCCGGGCGTTGTCAAGGGGTTAAAACACAAGCCAAGTTAAACAAAGAACATTAATAAGAAAGCCGCTTCGCCCTCGTCCTTTTAGTTGGTTTAGCAATTTGATCCGGCAATGAAATGGCAGTCGAGTTGAGCTCAGACCCCCAAGGACCCAACTTCTTAATGCCATTAATTTTTTAAGCTTACTTGGAATGCAAATGCCCTGACCCCTGGCCGCATAAAAATGGCAGGCCATCAAGGAATGGCCATCAAATGGAGCAGGACGAGCAGGACGAGTGAAAAGCGGCGATGTAAAGTAAAGTAAAGCGAAACGGAAAAGGGTTTAATTGTTTTGGGCGCCAATGAGGTTGGTTGTGTTGGCGTTCTGGGTTGGGGTTCGGGGTGGCAGATTTAGTTTCAAAACACACTTGAGCCTACGCAGGGCATATAATTAAAGGTCTCCATCCGCCGGGGTCAGAGGTCCTCATGATTTATTGTTCCACAGAAGCAAGTTTGAGGCCCGGACTGTTTGTGTTTTAGGCAAATTAGAAAGGGTTCTTAGCTGTCTTTAGCAGCTGGGGAGTCTCCTTTTCAAAGGACCCGCACCACCAGCTGCGGGCATCTGAAGTCCCCCTTTGTGAGTCCTGAGCACTTTTACTTCCTTTCGGTCTGTTTGCTGTCACGCTGTCTAGCTATTTATTTATATTTAGTGTTATGTTTAATTTAGTAATGGATTAGAGCCGGCGAAAGGAAGCTGTTCATTACGGCCAGTCACGTAGTGCTGTTTAGGCCACGTTGAGTGGGGAATCTCTGATCTGGGATCTGGCCAGGCCCATCACTCTCTTTCCCTCTTGGGAGCGAAGATTTATGGAGATTGCTCCTTGAAATAATGCTATGCAAAATTGCCACTCATCCTGCACAAATGTTGGAATGAAAAGTTCCAAAAACTAAATAATCTGGACGATTCTCGAAATCTCCGAACTAAATGATTTTTTAGGTATTTCAAATATAAATTGAATTGATGAAATAATTTTTGATGGAGACAAAAACAATTTTAAACATTCTTTTTTAATATTTTAGTGCACTTAAATTGGTTTATAAGGTTCTGAAAGTTTTTGTTTACAAACCTCTACTTATTTATCAATTTTTATTAAGTTTTGTTACATTCTTCTGTTCCCTGGCATTCCTAATTAATTTTGAATGAAATTCGTTGCAGTTAGCTTTCGTTCTAAATGAAATCTAATATGGACAGCCAAAAAATGTGGAGGGGTTAAGGAAACGGAGTCCTTTTTTGGCAGCGAAACCGCTCGAAATACAAACAGAAGTTTAATGAAGCAGCGCGCCACACACACCATGGATTGGTTATTATCTTTTAGTTCAGTGCATAACTTTTTCACTCTGCATGTAAATTTTATGCCACAGACCAGAGTTTTGCCAATGTTTTGGCCCTCTTGTATTTTGGCTGCCCCATTTTTTCCCCGCCCCCCCACTTTTCCCCTCGATTTTGTTTGGCCGTTGGCGAGATTTCACGTATTTCGGGGAAATTATTTTATAATGAATGTTCGTATTTAGCTAAAGTTTTATGAATGGCTTTCATTATGGACGCCGTAGGAGCCGGGAGCCAGGAGCCAGTTCGGGCCAGCTCTCGCTGAAGTGAACCACAAAAATATGAAAACCACATTTATATTGTACATCGGGCAGCTGTTCCAAAACTTTGTCTGTCTCCCTATGCTGGCTGTTCAGGTTTCGGGTTTGGTGGTGTTTGGCTCCACTCAGATAGTGGTTCGCATAGTAGTTCGCGGTGGTTTCGGTTTGCTGGGCTGCCGTTCTGGTGGGTTCTGCCCGCCAGCTTCCTCCTCTTTTTGGGCCACAGTACACAGTTGCCAGTAGCTACCAGAAGTGGACGAGTGCACTGATTTTGGTCGGCGAACTTTCGCAGAGTGGTTTTTCGGGGAAAATGAAATGAAATGGCATGGAATGTGCCACAAAGGATTCCCAAATTGATGAAGAAATTAAAGTTTCTAATGGAACTCCCAGTTCGTTTATGCCAGCATTTAAAGCACTTGTTCCCCGCTCAACTTTTATGTATTCTCTCATCCGAAAACCGAAAACCAAAGGCACTGAAGCAAAAGCGTAACGAAACTTTCAACTTAAGGTTGAATGGAAAACCTGAGGGTGGCGAAGAGTGCTGACAACCCTTTCAGGATTCCCGACTTGACAATTAAGTAAAATAAATGAGGAGTCTACGGCATCGGAAGCCCGGCTACGTGACGCAGTCAGCAGAAGATGCCCGCAACTTTGACACCCCACAAGGGCACTGGAAAATGGGAAATTCGGGGGGTAAGTGGGGGGAAAGTGGGGAAGGGAAGCAGTGGGGAAAGCGCCCTGGTGGTTGCCAGCTAGTATTTGTGGCAGATTGTACCCCAAGGTACTAGGCAAGTGCTGCCCCCCACTTCTCCACAATATTCTGCTGCTGCTGCTGCCGTTGGCAGCCATTATGGGTAAACTTATATTTGCACTAGGAGAGCACAACAAAGGACATGACCCATCCCCCCGTAATCCTGCGTCCTTTGCCCACCCAGGAGCACCCACTCTTTCTCCCCTGGCTGATTATCCTTCCGCTGCCGCATGTTTGTGCGCAGTTGCCGAGGTCACTAATGTCGTAAGATGAATCCTTTCGGCAAATGCCTTCAGGGTGCAAAAATAAAACATGCCAACCGTAAGCCCTTCCCTCATTCTAAACTCACTTTGTCCTCGCAGTTGAGACACTGTCAGAAAAACACAAATTTATTGTTTCAGTAAACCTTTTCTTACTGAAAGAGTTAGAAAGTTTTTGGTTTATGTTACCACTCAAAAGAAAAGATCTTAGGAACAATTTGATAGATGATTATGGGTCCTACAAATCTTTATATATTTTTAAAGTCTTTCGATGCTATAGATTATTCATAATTTCATATAAGTTATCGACCAAATTTCAGTGAAATATCTTTTGCAGTTATAGCTTAACTATATGTTTTATTTTATAAACGTTTAACATATATAATATACCATTTAAAGTTTTTTCCCTGTGCATTCCCCAACCCCTAATTTTCCAACCAGCAGCCGCGTTTTAAATGTAGATTAGTTGTTGTTGTGGTGGGTGCTGGCCTCCTGACATCCTCGCATCCTGGCACCAGGGGATGCCTCCACCTCGCCGAGGAAAATAATGAAAACAGCAACTTTCATAATGAAGGTTGCCGTCCTTCGTCCTTCGTCCTGCAATCTCCCGCTTCCCGTTCCACAGGACCCGCTTTCCCCTAAGCGAACGGAGCTCAACTCAACCGTTGCTGTCCAGTCCGCTCGTCTCTTTTGAAATTATAATCTGCGCCACGGCGCCATCCCGGCCGAGAGCTCCTGCTCCTCCGCCCTGCTCCTTTGGCCATTCGCTGCGTTTATTTAAGGACATGCGCTCGTTTTACACGCTTTGCTTCGAGGACTCGACGA